AAAAAAAGGAGAATCACCAGGGAAACATGGCTCGTTTTGAAAAAGATGAGGTTCCTATGCTGTCTGAAACGCGTGCTCAACTGTCTGATGAATTCGTGGATTCTAATTTCCGGAGGCTAGTATCTAGAACACGAAGTGCTTCAATTTCGATTCCCATGGCTTCCTTGGAATCATATGAGAAAGAAACTAGTCTTGTGGGACATACCGGTCCCCTTCGTAGTGTGAGAAAAACCCCCTTTGTGCAGATGAGTGGTCCACTGTATGCTACCCATGGAACTTCAAATCTTTCAGGACAGAATATAGCTGCTACAGGAAACAAAGTAGTGGAAAGTAAGACAGAAAACTTTTCTACTTTCAATGGCACAAATGAAAATCGTTGGGATAATGACTATGACAGAAAGAATGAACACTTAATGAGGTCTGGGCAACTGGGAATGTGTAATGATCCTTATTGTACTACTTGCCCCACTTATTTCAAGGCTGCTCAGCCAAGAACTCGAAAAACTTCAGCTATATTTGATCCCAAGGTACTTTTCTTCCTAAAATGTACTTCGATTTCTCCTTAAATTTAAGAAAACATTGTCTTCTATGTTTTGAAGTTGACTTTAACTATATGCTGCATAGCCATTTATAGGACAGATGTGATTTTGTACTGCACATTCATTTCTTTTTTCTGACCAAATTCAGGTGTTCACGATAGATGATTTAATTAACCTAATGATTTATAGACATTTGATTGAGTTATGCTGTAACTTTGTTGATATCATTGTCCATTTTGGGGGCAGTAGAAGTATTGTCAACAGACAATGTTTCATTACTTAGCAACACTTAAATTCCTACGATCGCAGACTTTTCTGTATCCTTGCACTTCATATTCTTGTGACCTTTCCATTTGTTTTAATAGACACTTGTCTGCTGTCACTCTCATAACCAAAGTCACTTTCATTTGCAATTTGAATGTTTGCAGTTCCACCATGTTTTTTATGGAGATGCCAAGGGTTTTGGCCGAAAATTTTTTTCCTTCTGCTATTCATATGTTCCTGGAGTTATGAATCCTCATGCAAAAGTTGTACAACAATGGAACAAGATCTTGGCCATTTTTTGCTTGGTGGCAATTTTTGTTGATCCATTATTTTTCTTCTTATTATATGTGAAGGAGGTGTGGATTCTTTTCCTTTTATTTAATTAAATCTTCCTACATGTAGATATTTGTCTTTCCCTGCTACTATTTCTGCAATTTTATATTTTTCCACTTGATATGTGCAGGATGATAAATGTATTGCTATCAATTGGACAATGACAACAACACTTGTTTTTTTTAGAAGCATTAATGATTTGATATATTTCTTTAACATTCTTCTCCAGGTAATTTCTCAGTAACTACCTTTTTTTAGAATTCCCCCATACCCTTATGTTCAAATACAATAATGATGCCAATTCGTTAGCTTGAATTATATGATTAAGATCCTTCCTTGTCAACAAGTGTTTATTATTAATTTTTTCTGTTTTTGAGAAGGTAAATATACTGTCAAATGTATTCGAAAAGAATTTTCTAGCAACAGAATAACAGGGTTTAGGTTCTTTGTTGCTTTGAATCATACATAAATATTCACTAGAGGAATAATAAGATCATTGGAGCTCCGTCATGTGCGCTAAGCATTTCCTGTTAAACTTCAAGTCTTTGTATATAAAGAAGCGGGATGACAGAAGTTATCTTGTTTTTTGGTATAGATCACTTTTAACTTAAAGATACAGCGTTGTTTACAGAGTGCTTCATGTTGTAGGTTGGACTGTCTTTTTTGTTTTGGAGAAATGCATGTAGACAATTTTAATAGATAGAGTGCAACAACTTGTATCTGGTGGAAGTAGAGTATATTTTGTAGACTTCATGAAGGAAACACAGATATAAATGAGCATGTGATGATTCATGGATAAAGATTCATGTGTGCAGGACCAGCTTAAAGTATTAGTAAAAAGCTTTTTAAACATATCTCTTTGTAGCATTCAGCGTCATAAAGTAATGCAGATCTTCTTGAAGTAACTGCTAACCAATGCATGAGATTGTTTATGACACTTCCTTTAAATTTCCTAAACATCCAGGTTAAAATGAACACCTACAAGCACAGTCATATTTAAACCAGAAAAAAAAAATTAAACTAGAATTCAATCTTGTTTACATTCAGAAAATGAAGATCACGCACTTACTCTCATCTGGTGGAGGACCAAGTACCAAAGATATTTATTGTAATTATTTGTACTGCTGCAACTCCGTACATACTTCAGGGTATTTGGCATTAAATTTCAATATTTCCCTGTCAAATGTTCATCCATTCATTCTATTGCCACATTTGTTGAAGAAAATCTTTTAGTAGCACGAGTTTTTTCCACTTAGATATGAACCTAAAAGTATTTTTCTTTTTTTGTATTTTTAAATTTTTTGCAATTAGCAATATGGTGTCAAACTGGAAGAGAAATATGAAATGATGACTCAGATGATATAGAATGCTGGACCTTGACCTTATTCATAATATGTTGCCGCATCTTGTGTATGTCTTACCTTTTTTTATAATTAGTTCAGGTCAAAATGAAAAGAAAAGCACATGTATAGGACTTCTGAGTTTTATAGTCTTGTTTGCTTTTTACAGTTTAGGCTGGCTTATGTTTCTCCTGAGTCAATGGTAGTAGGTGCTGGAGATTTAGTTGACCAACCCAAGAAAATTGCTCTTAATTATCTGAAGAGTTATCTTTTTATCGACCTATTTGTTGTATTTCCTCTTCCTCAGGTAAACTTCTTACCTTCTCCCTTTTTGATTTGTGGTAACTTTTTATTATATTGTTTCCTTGCCTGAGTTTGCTCATTGGGTATTTAGTTTTATGTGCAACAAAGCGAAAAGTTTACTATGAATTATGAGATGTACCTTCCATACAAATGATTATGAATGCTTGTTGATGTTTCTCTTCATTTCAGTGGTTCTGTATCTTTTTATTTGTTAGAAAACATGAAGTTCTTTGATGTTGCCATTCACTGCGATGATGAGTTTGGATTTCATGAGATATTTATATATTGAAATATTATTCAAATCTCCCCACCCAAAGAAAACACAATGCTTGATTTTGGAATTTGTATGAAGTTGAGTTTTTTCTTGGTTCTTTCAAAACATCAGTTTTTTAGTTGTGATTTTATTATTCAGATTAAATATGGAGTGCTTGAAACTAGTTGTTAAGTTTTCTATAATAGAACCTTTTGTAATTAATTACTGTTGCCAGTTAATTAAGAACATGAGAGCATTGTAGATCTATCTTTTACCGTCTCTCATAAAGGCTATGTTAACTCGCTAATATCCAATTTCCTTGAAACTCGTATATTCCAAAGGCCCACTTATTTTTGTGTTGAAATTAAAATTAAGAAAACGAGAGCATTGAGGATCTAAATTTTATAATTAGTTGTAAAGGCTATGATGACTTGTTTAACAATCTATTATCTTAAAAGCTTAAGCTGCTAGTTGTAGGGTAGAAATGATTTTTATTGTAGAACAATTTTTAAGTGCTCTGAAAATTTTTTGTTGTCATGTCATCTTTATCTTTATAAACTGCTTTGTTCTATGCTGTCTTGTTCAAACTCAAATGAACCTCAATGGCTAAACTTTTTGTTGTGTTCTGATGAAGAAATAGTCTGTGGAGAATGGATATAAAAATGTACTTGACATCAAGCAGGCAGTAATGGAAGGAAAGGGTTTTCAGTCTGTGAGAAAGATTAATGGTTTATTGTGTACTTTTCAAATTCTTTGTTATGACATGGAGTGAAATATTTGCAGGTAATGATATTATCTGTCCTACCAAACTACCTGGGATCATCTGGAGCAAATTATGCTAAAAATCTTCTGCGTGCAGCAATCCTTGTGCAGTATTTTCCCAGATTATTCAGGTTTCTGCCTCTGCTAATTGGCCAGTCTCCAACAGGATTCATTTTTGAGTCAGCCTGGGCAAATTTTATTATAAATCTTCTCATTTTTATGCTATCTGGCCATGTTGTTGGTTCTTTCTGGTACCTCTTTGGTCTACAGGTGAGTAAAAATGTTATTTGAAG